TCACATCCTCATTGACCTGCTTCTCGCCAACCTTGCGAAGCAGCTCCACGATTTCGTTCTACAAGTACATAACTCGGTCATCACTAACAGGGCACAATGCTTCACTCAACTTGTGCTTCAAGTCTTCATTCTCCTTTCATAGTCTAGCTGCCTCCTCTATAGCAGAGTCATTGCTGACCGCTTCCACTGATTTCCCATTACCAATACCTAATGCCCTCAACCTCTTCTCGAATCGCTCACCCATTGTCGCCTCAAACTTCTCACGCTCCATTTTCCATGCTGCCAATTTTTCCTCCTCTTCTCTTTTGGCCTTCTCTCTAGCTTCCTCCTCCTTCTTGGCTTCCCGTTCAGTATCTTCTACGTATTTACCATAGACCTTATCGAGTCTTTCCTAATTACGCACGCACCAGTTAGGACGAACCTGGTAACCATTGCCAGCCCCCACAGTATTACCAGCTCTAAAGTTAGAAGAGGATGGACCATAGAAAGAGGAGGAGGCAGCGTTATTAGAAGTCAAACCCAAAGCAGAGGGGCCCGGAGCAGGCAGCGCCAGAATCGGAGGCCCAGTTGGAACATCGTTGGCGCCCGTGGCAGGTGGGCGAAAGCCAGGACCCCGATGCGGGCATTCTCGAACCCAGTGATTCATTAAGCCACGTTGGAAACAACCATCCCTATTCAGATTCCCAGCCATCACCGATGTTGTCAACAAAGCACCAACACAACGCCGAAAGTGCAAACAAAAAAAGCATAGGAAGTACGAACGAATAATAATAAGTAACTAATTCAATGAGTCACACACACGTAGTATGATTGCTACGGTGGTTCCAAATCGTCAGGATGATGTAGAGAGAACTCGCAAACATCCGTTTGCCACAAATAATCATAAGAGCAATCCACAGTTGCATGCAGCCCAAACCCCAAATAAAAAATTGTCAACATCCACAGACCCGACCAATTGCCCTACATACTCAAACATGACGACCATCAGAAGTGAAAGAAAAGAGACATCCATGCAGAGAAAAAAGGGAAGAAGAGAAAAGGTAAGAAGTGGAAGGAAGAATAGAAAAGGTAAGAAGTGGAAGGAAGAAGAGAAAAGGTAAGAAGTGGAAGGAAGAAGAGGAAGAGATTGACATATCGATGTCTCCCAAACGGAATAAATAACTTCATAAAATGTAAAAGTAAAACCCGCCAACAAGTTGAACCCGAAAATGGACGTCATGTCGGTGTCGAGCAATATAGGGTCAAAACTCCGGCCAGACCCTACGCGTTTCATCCGGAGCCGGTTCCGGAATCATCAGGGGTTGTCACGAGTGGAATGCCAAACGATGTGCCAAAAGGACAATATATATTAGAAGACAACACCCGAAGTCACTAGGTCCAGCCAAAGTCACCGAAGGAGGTGTCTAACAACAACTAACTCACAGATCCACAACTCAAGTCTCCTCAGGTCCTTGCCCAAAGAGTCCCGCTACCAATAACTAAAAACCAGCTACAAAGAGTCTTGTTCGAAAGTCTACGTCACCGGTTCGAGGCCAGATGCCCCGCATTTCTCATAACAACTTATAACACGAGGCCTAGCACGTCCGTTGGGCCCACAAGCCAAAATAGTAAATTGAACAGACCAATGTTCAAATCCAATCCCTCAACAAATATCATCATCCTAATCCAAAACCATCGGCTGAAGTCCAGAGATCGATCCTCAGAACCTATAACATCCTAAGAGTTGTGAAAACCGAAACTAGTGCCCCCTTCCCAAAAAGGGTCGTCGTGGACCAAAAACCGCGTTCCAGAGCAAATTTTATCCCAGCCAGTCATACACTCAACCAAACAATTCCACAAATCTTCAAACTTCACAGAGAATTTACTCAATGATTTGTCAAAGATTTCATCGGGGAACCCCTGAAGCCTCAATTCAACCTTCAAGGTGAAGAGAAAAAACACCTTAGTCGCATACATACTCGTAAACTGTCGAACACGATGAAAGAACAACCCCACAACAACCATTTTTTGTTTCTTACTCACGTAGGAACAATTATCCTGCAAGCTCTGAAAACATAGCCCTTTGCTCAAAACAGTTCGTTGGTTTTTATGTACTCCTGCACATCGAACACCAATTGGCCAATGGAAGCTCCTCAAAACACACCCAAGAAAGTCCAAAGTATCAGTGCAGCTAGTACGCTCTTAACTAAGTTTAGGATCACAGCATTCGGCAAACATGCCCAAAATTCTTTCTGCGTTCCGAAGAGAAATTTCGTACTCCATGCGGTATTTCATGAAAACAGAGACCTCATCAATAAGAGGAATACCTTTAATTAGAGGCCGTTCTGCCCTGAGAGAGTTCTGAAACGAGAATTCATAGTAGACATAGAGCAAACACGCCACAGCAGGACTGGAGGGTTTACCCATATGAATCCCGATAGTTTGTCGAAGAATCCCCCCATTTGCCCGAATAAAAGTATGGGCCAAATCAAATCTCACAAAGTTACGAATGTCATCAAATTCGATGATATCCCATCCCTCCTGCCGCTTGCCTTTCAACATCTTAGCATCCTTGCCCCGTTTCTTCAACAAGATACCTTTTGCTTCCTTACCCTCCTAGTAATCAATCACTCAGTCTAACACATTCAAAATTGAATCTTAGGCAAATTACAAAACATTTCTTTCATATCATACGCCGCCGTGAGCAGTGCATCCCCTTCCCCCAATCCTTTGTTAACCAAATTAAGCAAATCAACCAGCAAATCAAAGCTTTTCAAATTGAAGTGGGAAGATTTAGGCAAATTCCAGATCATCGCATTCACTGAATGAGAAATTTGGCAACAACCTCTTACTCCACATTCGCTGAAAGATGGGCAGATGGGTCGCCACCGAAACACATCTTTGTGTTTCAGAATCACATAAGATTTGTCAATCTCTCCCTTACTCTCTCATTTTTTCACCTTCTCCAATCCATTCAATTCGTAAGACTTCTTAGCCTTCTCCAAAAGTGCAGGCTCATCAAGATCGATGGTTCAAAATCCTAGATTACAATGAAAGAGGATATTCATACCCTCCTGGTAAAGGAACGGACAACACACATACATGTCAATAGGATTGTAGTCGATTGGCACCCGCACCAATCCTTCCAACCTCTTAGCCCAAGAGGTAGCAGTCAACTCAGAACAATCACCAAATCGTACCTCTGAGTTGGAGCAACTAAAAGCCACGGAGGAACGTTTCAGAGGAGGCACATCAAAGTCAAGAGTGGAAAATTAAGATAAAATCTGATACCTTAGTCTGTCGACAACATCAGGACAGTCTGGAGAAACCACATTCTTATTATTGTGCAACCAAGTCGGGGCGAGTTCCCGATCATTCAAACGAAAGCTAACATGGCCATCAATAAGGGGAACACCTCTGTTAAGGACGAGCAGTTACACACATTCTGAACCGCACGAGCGGCTTCTTTAACTTAAAGATGAGATCCTCCACACTTTTATTCTTCAACCACATAATACGCATACGTCATACCGTCATAAGTTTCCAGCCCATATCAACCTCCGACCTCATCACCGAATCAGAGCAAAGCGAACGAATCTCAGGCTTACTAATTCCATCATTGAAGGTAATCTAAATCACGAACCGACATCGAATATTGATGACATATCGTCGCTTAATAACCCCCGACTGAATAACACGTAAAAAATATCTGGATCTCTTTTCGGAAAAACACCGGACGACAGAGTAAGCTTGTATCAGAAGAGCGAAGTCCAGGTTCATGAGTTCCTTCCTAGAATTCGAATTAGCTAGATACCCGGCCAACGTTGGTTTCAAAATCTCGCAGCGAGCAAGAAAAGGCACCACATTCACAATACGCAAGAACTTCCCCGACATGAACATATGTTTAGCTTTCTTTTAGCAACTCGTAATTACCCGAACAACAAATCAGAGAAGACCCGAACCGAAGCTTAGTCAATTTTCAATTATCAGTAAACTTTAGGCCACTAGCACAGTCAATTCGTACAGACGAAACCTTTTGTTCAACGCAGGATTCCAAGATAGCAGAAAGACTCAAAGAGACTATGTCAATAGTCGAATGAAAGATTTGATGAGTGAGAGGAAGGGAGGCTTGGGTTGGAACTCCAGTATTGCGCTTCCTTCTAAGCCGTTCCTTATTCCCTGATCTCCGACGCTTACATCTCTGTTTCCTATCTCGACGGTTCAGATGCGGACAAAACCAACCGATCGAAAACTTTTCCAAACTACGAACTTCCTCTATACCAAAACGAAATAGGGGAACAATGACATATTGCCCTACCTGGCATCTCCTCAGCCAACAATATAAATGATGATTGCGTTTACTTTGCTCAATCACTCTCAGATTAGATGCCCAATACACATGCTCTGTCCAGCGAGTGGGGGAAGTGATTGAGTGGTAGAGCCAATATAATAGTGTTTAGACCATGGTGATATTAGAACGTAAACAAGAGGTCCTGCGCAAGTTTCCAAATCAAACCCATCAATAAGCAGTCTCAACACATAATCTTTAAATTTCCAAGCCTAAGGAATCTGATCCCGAAGGATGAGACCAATCACCACGAGTCTAAAGAAAGCATTATACTCAATATCCCGAAGAAAGAAGGACGAAGAGTCTGAAAGATTCGAAAACTTATAGCTAAGAGGGGAAACAGAGTCCGATCGATAAATAGAAGACAAACAAGTTCCAAAGGCACACCTCTTCCTTCGGCACTCGTCTGCTTAAGACCAGAGAGAGGACGCGCCCGGGAAAGCCCCCTATAACTCCTCCAATTTCTCCACTTCATCCTCGACACTTCCAGTGCTCTTCGAAGCATCGTCACTAACCTCCTGCACTTGTCAAGGTCGTTTCGAGGAAGGGCCCGCAATATCACCAAAGGCTTTACGAGCCCGAGCTTCAACAAGTTCGCAGATAGTTTCTTCAATCTTCCCAAGTTTCACCCCTTCCTCCTTGCAAAGCAGTTCCAGACCGATCCTCCGAAGCATTCACAATTGCGCTTTTGTTCCACAACAAATTCGGCACGATTCGTACCCCCGTTCCCATTACCTTCCTCCCCACTAACCATCAGTTGTACCATCTTCTCCTCCAAACCCTGACCTGATTTTCTGCCTCCATTCGACGAGCTCTTGCTTCAGCCCGCTTTTCCTTGAGCGCCTCGGCTTCAATGTTGGCCAGCCGATGCAGGCTCTGAAGATTCCTATACCAAGCTTTCCATTGATCTTCCTCCCTTACATTATCCGTCCATTGTGGTTTAGGTGAACCTTGATTGGAAACATCCGGTGTCTGCAACACCACACTGTCCCCCTTGTTGCCCGGACGAAGGGCTTGTTCCTTCCATTGCCCAATTTTCAGAACAGCACGCTCATTTTGATCCCGCAGAAGATTCACTTTCTTCCTTAACCCCGCAATTTCTTGTTTGAAATTGGTCTTGATAAAGGCTGATTTCTTAAGCTCGCAAATCTCGGTCTTCAAAGCAGCAATCACATCCTCATTGACCTGCTTCTCGCCAACCTTGCGACACAGCTCCACGATTTCGTTCTGCAAGTGCATAACTCGGTCATCACCAACAGGGTACAGTGCTTCACTCAACTTGCGCTTCAAGTCTTCATTCTCCTTTCGTAGTCTAGCGGCCTCCTCTATAGCAGAGTCCCCGCTGACCACTTCCACTGATTTCCCTTTGCCAATACCTAACGCCTCCAACCTGTTCTCTAATCGCTCACCCATTGCCACCTCAAACTTCTCATGCTTCATTTACCATGCTGCCAATTTCTCCTCCTTTTCTCTTTTGGCCTTCTCTCTAGCTTCCTCCTCCTTCTTCTTGGCTTCCCATTCAATATTTTCCACGTATTTACCATAGACCTTATCGAGCCTTTCCTAATTACATGCCCACCAGTTAGGACGAGCCTGGTAACCATTGCCAGCCCCCACAGTATTACCAGCTCTACAGTTAGAAGAGGACGGATCATGGGAAGAGGAGGAGGCAACGTTATTAGAAGCCGAACCCGTAGTAGAGGGGCCCGGAGCAGGCAGCGCCAAAATCGGAGGCCCAGTCGGAACAGCGTTGGCGCCCGTGGCAGGTGGGCGAGAGCTTGGGCCACGATGGGGGCATTCTCGAACCCAGTGATTCATTAAGCCACATTGGAAACAACCATCCCTATTCGGATTCCCAACCATCACCGATGTTGTCAACAAAGCAGCAACACAACGTAGAAAGTGCAGCCAAAAACAGCATAGGAAGCACGAACAAACGAAAATAAGTGACTAATTCAACGAGTCACACACACGTAGTATTATTGCTACGGTGGTTCCAAATAGTCAGGATGATGTTGAGAGAACTCGCATACATCTGTTAGCCACAAATAATCACAAGAGCAATCCACAGCGGCATGCAACCCAAACCCTAAACCAAAAATCGTCAACATCAATAGACACGACCAATTGGCCTACATACTCAAACATGACGACCATCAGGAGTGAAAAAAAAGGGACATCCATGCAAAGAAAGAAGGGAAGAAGAGAAAAGGTAAGAAGTGGAGGAAGAAGAGGAAGAGATTGACACATCGATGTTTCCCGAACGTGACAGATGGCTTCATAAAATATAAAAGTCAAACCCGCCAACAAGTTGAACCCGAAAATGGATGTCATGTCCGTATTGAACAATACAGGGTCAACACTCCGCCCAGACCCTACGCGTTTCATCGAGAGACGTTTCCGGAATCATCAGAGGTCGTCACGAGTCGAGTGCTAAACGATGTGCCAAAAGGATGATATATATTAGAAGACAGCACCCGAAGTCACTAGGTCCAGCCGAAGTCACCGAAGGAGGTATCTACCAACAACTAACTCACAGGTCCACAACTCAAGTCTCCTTAGGTCCTTGCCCAAAGAGTCCTGCTACCAATCACAAAAAACCAGCTACAAAGAGTCTTGTCCGAAAGTCTACGTCACCGGTTCGAGGCCAGATGCCCCACATTTCTCATAACAACTCATAGCACAAGGCCCAGCACGTCCGTTGGGCCCACAAGCCAAAATAGTAAATTGAACAGGCCAATGTTCAAATCCAATCCCTCCACATATATCATCATCCTGGGCCGAAACAATCGGCTGAAGTCCAGAGATCGATCCCCGGAACCTATAACATCCTAAGAGCTGTGAAAATTAAAACTAGTGGCCCCTTCCCAAAAAGGGCCGTCCTGGGACAAAATCCGCGTTCCAGAGCAAATTTTATCCCAGTTTGTCAGACACTCAACCCAACAATTCCACAAATCTCCAAACTTCATTGAGAAGTTACTCAATGATTTGTCAAAGATTTCATCGGGGAACCCCTGAAGCCTCAATTCAACCTTCAACGTGAAGAGAAAAAACACCTCAGTCATAGGCATACTCGTAAACCGTCGAACACGATGAAAGAAGGACCCCACAACAACCATCTTCTGTTTCTTACTTACGTAGGAACAATTATCCTGCAAGCTCTGAAAACATAGCCCTTTGCTCAAAACAGTTCGCTGGTTTTTGTGCACTGCTGCATATCGAACACCAATTGACCAACGACATTTCCTCAAAACACACCCGAGAAAGTCTCAAGTATCAGTGCAGCTAGTACGCTCCAAACTAAGTTTAGGATCATAGCATTCAGCAAACATGCCCAAAATTCTTTTTGCGCTTCGAAGAGAAATTTCATTCCCCATGCGGTATTTGATGAAAATTAAGACGTCATCAATAAGATGAATACCTTAAATCAGATGTCGTTTTGCCCCTAGAGAGTTCAGAAACGAGAATTCAGAGTAGACACAGAGCAAACACGCTACAACAGGACTGGAGGGTTTACCCATAGAAATCCCGACAGTTTGTCGAAGAATCACCCCATTCGCCCGAAGAAAAGTATGGGCCAAATCAAATCTCACAAAGTTACGAATGTCATCAAATTCGATGACATCCCATCCCTCCTGCCGCTTGCCTTTCAACATCTTAGCATCTTTGCCCCGTTTCTTCAACAAGACACCTTTGGCTTCCTTACCCTCCTAGTAATCAATCACTCAGTCTAACGCATTCAAAATTGAATCTTAGGCAAATTACAAAACATTTCTTTCATATCATATGCCGCCGTGAGCAGGGCATCCCCTTCCCCCAATCCTTTCTTAACCAAATTAAGCGAATCAACCAGCAAATCAAAGCTTTTCAAATTGAAGTGGGAAGATTTAGGCAAATTCAAGATCATCGCATTCACTGAACGAGAAATTTTGCAACAACCTCTTACTCCACATTCGCTGAAAGATGGGCAGATGGGTCACCACCGAAACACATCTTTGTGTTTCAATATCACATAAGATTTCCCAATCTCTCCCTTACTCTCCCATTTTCCCACCTTCTACAATCCATTCAATTCGTAAGACTTCTTAGCCTGCTTCAAAAGTGCAGACTCGTCAAAATCGGTGGTTCAAAATCCTAGATTACAATGAAAGAGGATATTCATACCCTCCTGGTAAAGCAACGGACAACACACATACGTGTCACCAGGATTGTAGTCGATTGCCACCCGCACCAATCCTTCCAACCTCTTAAGCCCAAAAGGTGACAGTCAACTCAGAACAGTCACCAAATCGTAACTCCGAGTTGGAGCAACAAGAAGCCACGGAGGAACGTTTCAGAGGAGGCACATCAAAGTCAAGAGTGAAAAAATAAGATAAAATCTGATATCTTAGTCTGCCGACAACATCAGGACAGTTTGGAGAAACCACATTCTGATTATTGTGCAACCAAGTCGGGGCGAGTTCCCAATCATTCAAACGAAAGCTAACATGGTCATCAATAAGGGGAAACACCTCAGTTAAGGACGAGCATTTACACACATTCTGAACCGCTCGAGCGGCTTCTTCAACCACACAATACGCATACGTCGTACTGTCATAAGTTTCCAACCCATATCAGCCTCCGACCTCATCACCAAATCACAGCAAAGCGAACGAGTCCCAGGTTTACTGATTCCATTATTGAAGGTAATCAAAATCACCAACCGACGTCGAATATTGATGACATATCGTCGCTTAATAACCCCCGACAGAATAACACGTAAAACATATCTGGATCTCGTTTCGGAAAAACACCGAACGGCAGAGTAAGCTTGTATCAGAAGAGCGAAGTCCAGGCTCATGAGTTGCTTCCTAGAATTCGGATTAGCTAGATACCCGGCCAACGTTGGTTTCAAAATCTCGCAGCGAGCAAGAAAAGGCACCACATTCACAATACGCAAGAACTTCCCCGACAGGAACATATGTTTAGCTTTCTTTTAGCAACTCGTAATTACCCGAACAACAAATCAGAGAAGACCCGAACACAAGCTTAGTCAATTTCCAATTATCAGTAAACGTTAGGCCGCTAGCACAGTCAATTCGTACAGACGAAACCTTTTGTTCAACACAGGATTCCAAGATAGCAGAAAGACTCAAAGAGACTTTGCCAAGAGTCGAATGAAAGATTACATGAGTGAGAGGAAGGGAGACTTGGGTTGGAACTCCAGTATTGCGCTTCCTTCTGAGCCGTTCCTTCTTCCCTAATCTCCGACGCTTACATCTTTTGTTTCCTATCTCGACAGTTCAGATGTGGACAAAACCGACCTACCGAAAACTTTTCCAAACTACGAACTTCCTCTGTACCAGAACGAAATAGGGGAACAACGACATATTGCCCTACCTGGCATCTCCTCAACCAACAATATAAACGATGATTGCGTTTACTTTGCTCAATCACTCTCAGATTAGATGCGCAATACACATGCTCTGTCCAACGAGTGGGAAGTGATCGAGTAGTAGAGCCAATATAATAGTGCTTAGACCATGGTGATATCATAACGTAAACAAGATGTCCAGCGCAAGCTTCTAAATCAAACCCATCATTAAGCAGTCTCAACACATAATCGTTAAATTTCCAAGCCCAAGGAATCTGATCCCGAAGGATGAGACCAATCACCACGAGTCTAAAGAAAACATTATACTCAATATCCCGAAGAAAGAAGAACGAGGAGTTTGAAAGATTGGAAAACTTATAGCTAAGAGGGGAAACAGAGCCTGATCGATAAATAGAAGACAAACAGGTTCCAAAGGTACACCTCTTCCTTCAGCACTCGTCTGCTAAAGACCAGAGAGAGGACACGCCCGGGAAAGCCCCCTATAACTCCTCGGACTTCTCCACTTCATCCTTGACACTTCTGGTGCTCTTCGAAGCATCGTCACTAACCTCCTGCACTTCACAAGGTCGTTTTGAGGAAGGGCCTGCGATATTACCAAGGGCTTTACGAGCCTGAGCTTCAGCAAGTTCGCAGATAGTTTCTTCAAACTTCCCAAGTTTCACCCCTTCCTCCTTGCAAAGCGGTTCTAGACCGATCCTCTGAAGCATT